TCATGCATTAAAGATACCTTCATTGCCGTATAGAAGCATACGTTAAAGTAGCTTTGCGCTTAGTTAAGGCCCTGTACCCGGAGTGAACGCCTGAGTAGGCGTCTTGTTTAATTTAATTTGCAACGTTTCGGACATTTTAAATGTCCGAAACGTTGCAAATTAAATTAAATTAACCTTTTGTATACATCCTTGAGAAATAAAAATAAGTAATAAGTTAGAATTTACCTTTGTAAAATTCCTACTGCATGTGATCACAGAAACTTTGATAGTGTAAACCATCCTTTATAACACTCAGTAAGTTTCTTCAAACATTTCTTACAAATCCTTCAAAACTTAGAATTTACCTTTGCAAAATTCCTACTATGATCACAGAAACTTTGATAGTGTAAACCATCCTTTATAACACTCAGTAAGTTTCCTCAAACATTTCTTACAAATCCTTCAAAACTTAGAATTTACCTTTGCAAAATTCCTACTGTGATCACAGAAACTTTGATAGTGTAAACCATCCTTTATAACACTCAGTAAGTTTCTTCAAACATTTCTTACAAATCCTTCAAAACTTAGAATTTACCTTTGCAAAATTCCTACTGTGATCACAGAAACTTTGATAGTGTAAACCAGCTTTAAATCGGCCTTTACAAAACTACAGCTTGAACTAAAATAACTTTATTCATACTGCATTGGTCTATCAGTTGTGTCCAAGCATTCTCTCTACAGAGTTCAATTGAGAAGCAGTGTTACTACAGGAGCAAACCGTAATTAAACTAACCATATATATGCATGTATACTGGATCGCTCTATTTTGATCTTAGGGCAAGGAAGAACTAGTAACATTACAAACCCGATTGCTTGCCGAAGCTGGATCGGACGTCCGAACTAACCTCATGACAGTGTTCGGAACTCCCGAACAGATTACGAGTGTTGGCGAAGGGCAATTACTTGATGCTCTAGACTCGAAGTACGACACACTACGAGATAAACTGCTGTCTGAGGCTTTGATGAAAGAGATGGGAGCTGCTGAATGGCAAGCGTTGAGCGAGCAGGAGAGACAGGCGAGACTTGTGAAGATGAAACTTGAAGAACGGAGGCTAAGACGAGAAGGTAAAGATTGCTTTATTAGCGAGGTTCAGATTTGACTTTCACTATACCAGTGCTGAAAAATGTCCAGCAGCACCGCTGCCAAGAAATTTTGAACAAAATATCTTCGCACGAAATTTTCCTACATTGTCTGTTGAGCTCAACAACAACCTTGTAGCAAGTTGACAACAAGCCGTTGACAACTTGTCAACAAGCTGGGAACAAGCAGTGCGAACACATCCTGTTGACAAGTTGTTGAAACAACATTGCTATGTGTACCACACCAAAAAAAAGTGAAATCCATACTACGAAATTTGCAATTGCACCACTAAATCCATAGTATATCCATCCTGTTTCCATACTATATCCACACTATGGAAATATACAATTATTATGGATAACCAAAATCCATTCTATTTCCAATAAAGGTCCATACAATTTCCATTCTATGACCTTCTATGGATTTCCAAAAAATTTTCCGGTATACCATACACCGCGCAGTAACCAGCACGATGGTATAAACCAAACTCGATAGTTTCTTAGGTCTATCACATTTTATTTCAAGGTAAACTTGACGAGCTTCAAGCGCTCCTTGGAGCAGCTTTCGACGCTGAAGCGAATCTTCAGGATCTCATGGGGCAGAACAAAGCACGCTACAAGGAACGGATGAGAGAAAAACTGGAGAAAAGACGACAGAGATTGAAAGACGGAATGAACAAAGACGAAGTTGCCAAAATGGAAGCTAAAGAGGATAAACAGTTTGAAGAAGAACTAAAACAGGAAGCAAATGTCAATCCTTTGATTAAACTGATGGTGAGTCAGGCTCATAGATATCTTATATAGTGCATCTAATTATTCTACAATTCAAAAATTGAAGCCGTGATTGCGGGCTCAGGATATTGCCATGAAATGAGAAGACTCGTATGTTTTCTATTTCTTAAACAGGGAACTTAAACATTAAGTTAAACCTATTCCAAATACATTTTCAAACTATTCAAATGATGAAAGTTATTGTTGTTTTTTAAGCGTTTATTAGCGAGTGGGAAACTCCAACATGGCCGCCATCTATTCAAATGGCGGTAACCGCTGGAATACTCTTGGCTTCAATTTTACTAAAAGAGATGCGCTATCTAGTGTATATAAGATATCTATGGTCAGACTCTGTTCACATGAGAGTGAAACAATGTCAGAATGGGATGATTCCGTTAGTGTTGATTCAAGCCACTGTTCACATGAGGGCGGAACGAAGCTATTTAGAGCTGACGGGGGATCAAAGTTGACTAAGTTGAGAAAACTCAAGGGTGGATCCGGCAAGGTTTTTCTAGGGGGATGCTGGGTGAGCAGCCGAGTGTTTCTTTATAATTCTTTAGAGGGGGGTGGGAGAGCATTCAAATGAATTGGCTTCCTAACGACTTGAGCGCCGAAGACGCAAGCTCCCTAGGGGGTCCAGGGGTGTGCCCCCCGGAACATTTTGAAAATTTGAACCCTAGAAATGCCATTTCATGCGATATGGGCATTGAATTATGAGCTTCAGTATGACTTCAAAAAAGGAAAAACCTTGGAAATTGTGCCGTATTTCTAAATTTGATTTTTTTGCACCCCCTTGCACCCCTGTTGACCAAGGTCAACGGGGGTACGCACCCCTGTGCACCCCCCCTATAAATCCACCCCTGAGAAAACTCTCACGCACACTCGCTGAAATTTTGCATGAGAGATAGGATGACAGTGGAGAAGCGAATCTCTCATCCACTTTTATCCTCTCTTATCCAATTTTCTTCAATTTCAGCAAAACTACGACAAAGAGAAAGAAGCGTTGTTACAAGCGTTACGCGATAGAGACGGACGTTTCGCAAGTGAACGACATCGCCAGGCCGAGCTTGCAAGACTAAGACGAGAGGAGAGGAAAGCGAGGCATGAGGACAAGTTTGATACCGCTGCCCTTGTTCTTGGTCTAGCGCAGACTCAGAAAGCTAATTTGGAAGAAATGTAAGTGCAACATAAATGGGTCAACCGGTAAATTAGCTTTTAGGTAGTTCAGACACAAACCACGCCAGCTTATTGTAAAGTGCTACCCACACTGGACCACCACGTTTGAGATATCTTTTTCAGGTAGTTCAGACACAAACCACAGCAGCTTATTGTAGAATGCTACCTACAAATGGACTCCCAAGTTCGAGATATCTTTTCAGGTAGTTCAGACACAAACCACGGCAGCTGTTTAAATAATATTACCTACACAGACTCCCACATTTGAGATATCTTTTTAGGCAGTTCAGACACACGGCACAGAGCTTATTATATAATACCTTATTAAATTCGAATCGTTTAATTGGCTGTTTATGGTCACGTGATATTGAATAGAAAATTCCATTTCCCAAGAGTGCAATGGAACAAAATGGAACACGTTCCATTGCACTCCCCGCGAGTGCAATGGAATAAAACGTATAGTACAATTGCACTCGTTGTGTTTTCGATAAATCGCATCCCTCAAAATGCTTCTCATACGAATCTATTAGTTTATTTTGGTATTATATAAAACAAATAATGAATGTTTCTTCGTGCAATGGTAAGAATATTTTCATTCGGTGAAAGATGGAATGTTCCATTCAACTCGGCTGTCGCCTCGTTGAATGGAACATTCCATCTTTCACCTCATGAAAATATTCTTACCATTGCACGAAGAAACATTCATTATTTGTATACTATACAATACTATATATACTTAAGCCAATGTTTTCGCTCACAATAGTATTAATATTTCTGCAGTCAAAAGAAAGACCGGCTTCGTCAAGAACAGTTAGCGCGGGAACGACTTGCAGCTCGACGGAAGAAGAAAGCAAGTGAAGTGGAAAAAGAATTGAAAGAAAAGGAAGACGAACAACTGGAGGACATCAGTGATAAAGAAAACCTCGTTGCTTTACAGGTACGTGTAATGATTATATTATATTTTAACTATTAATCTCTGAATATTGCAAGGATATTCACAGAAACACGAAGCGTTGAGGTAAATATCCTTGCACTATTCATCGGCACTGAGGTGAATAATTGTAATAGCATATATACCATAACAAAACAAAAATGACCAAATATTTTTAAAACAATTTATATTTCAAATTTGTGCCCGTAATAGTTGTAATTCAGTTCAGCTCCTGTAATAGTTGTAAACAAAACAGAATATACAAGCTTCTAGTAATTGTATTCATTAGCTTCAAATAGCTTCAAAGAATACCTCTACACACTGTTAAAAAAACTTTGTGGCTTTCTTCGTGTTTGGCATAGCCACCTCTTCGTTTAGTACAAAACGTTGCTCGTCTGTAACCGAAACGAAACGGGACGCCATTTTGTTTTTGTCCGGAGGAGAATAAAGCGGACTGAAGACATTTTCTACATTTATCCGTTTATTTAGGAAGCAGTGTTGAAAGAACTCGAGAAAAAACAAGAGTGTGAACGAGAAGTCATGGAGAAACTTCTTCAAGAAGAACAAACCAGTGAACGTCGAAAGAAAACACAAAAGAAAAGCAAAGAAAAAAGGACAGAACGTCTAACAGAACTTAAAGTAAGAAGAAATGCGAGTTAAGACCATGTTGCCTGAGGCAATTTTTGAATAAAATTTCCGATACAGAGCCATCTTGTCTAAAAGCAATCGGAGAGAAATTTAAGCATGGACCGCATTCTACATGCGTAAAAATCTTGCAGCTTGTCAACAAGATGTGTTCGCATTGCTTGCTCCCAATTGTTGACAAGTCTGGAACAAGTTGTTATCGTCTTTGTAATAAAGTTGTCGAGGCGTAAAAACTCGCAACAAGTTGTTCCAACAGGTCTTATATCTGCACGTGACAAGTTGATGACAACAAGTTTGTAGCAACTCTTTACGAACAGTTTGTATTAGTCTTGTTGGAACAGTTTGTAGCACGTCTGTTACTGTTATCAACCTTGTAACAAGGTGATAAGAATTTGTTCCAGACTTGTCACAACAACTGGGAACACTTTTTTGACATAACAT